TTCTAAGTCTTCCTACCAAAATATGACCGAATTGCGAAGACAAGGTCAAACGACTTCTATATAACGAAAGGAGACTGCGACCGCACAAGAGGCCACACCATCTTGGTCTTCATACCTTTTCTAATAAAGTTTGGGCCCCGATTAATGAGCGCTGGTTTCGGAGCCCAATACGATTACGATAGTAAAATTTGAAAATCCAAAAGATGCATTGGTAGTCGCAATCATATAAGTAACTTTTTGTCAGAAATACTTCTGATAGGATCAGAGCCTCTTGCTCGTTTTTTCCGCTTTCTGATTCGGAAACTTTCGAGTTGATCTCTTCATCATCTATCTTAGCCCCACTTTGCAGAATCACCGGACCGCCTCCACTCTCGTCCCCTGTTTAGCATCACCCTCCGCTGATCACATTCTCTTCAACAATCCACCAAACAAAACGGGTGAGAACCTTAAATTCAGATGCCAAAATTCCTACTCTCGCCCACCAGAAATGGCGCCCTTCGCCTGGTCAGTAGCCCATCCGTCTAACACCCAGGAACCCTACACACCTAGGCAGCAGCAGATCGACCTGTGCTTCCAACCACGATGCTCTGCAACCGGGAACGAGACAAGTCTTCTAAATTGGAGGCCGATTCCCGGCTACCTGCCGAGCACCGCGCAAGCTTGGCAACTTCCCGGTAACCAACAGGCATGGATGAAAAGTGTAGCGGATTTCGACCCTGTTCAGCCCCGGGTTCGCGGGATTCGAAGGCGTCAAAAGACAGGCCCTGTATCTCTTTGTGTCGAAGAGTCGACCGGTGAACCTGTCGGTCCTGTCAATGAGTGGGCGGTCGAAGTGAGCCTACCGGAGGCGACAAAGTACAACCATCAGCAGCCTCACCTCGTGTCTGGCAATTCCTGGGCAGTGAGCCTGGGGAGAGAGACACCGCTGAACAAAGAGATGCAGAACGGCGGATCAAGCGCTTTTGAGGGGGCTCGTCTAACCCATTCAGTCAAATCTGGAAGGTTTTGTAAACAGAATGAATTCACACCGGGATTTTGACCGCTTCTATCAAGCTTCTATATTTTTGGCCCTCTAGTTTGTCCCATTGTTGGGTCCAGGTGCCTTCAGAACAAGTGGGATTGATAATTCACTAATCAATCTACCGATACATCTGGCGTGATATCTCTCTTATGTCCCTTCTATTTTCGTCCTCGACACAGTCATTAGCTTCCCTATGTTGCTTGTGAGGCAAAAATTCTGTCAAAGGATCACTCGTTCACAATTTCTTTGCTCTTTGTTGGCCATACACGGGCTGAGCGTACATGACCATTGGGCAAGTATTTTTATGAGTTTCTGCGCAAATATTCACACAAACTCGAGTTAGCATAGAACTGGCTAAGATGGATTAAGAACAGAAATGCCTAATTATTCCAACCTCTCGTAAAATTGAGTGCTTTTTGAGCTTGATGTAAGTAAACAGCTCAGCCAAGTCACCACTCGGTCGCTAAATGTAAAATAATGACAAACTAAAACAATCGGAATTTGCCAAAACATAATATAGTGGAGGCAAGAGAGAAATAATAATAATAATTAAAGGCGATAGTTTTCTCCTAGACGAGTAGAAGAGAATACAGGGAAGATGGGTGGAGGAGAAGAAAGGCGCCTATTTTAAATCTGACTTCCGTTTCGAGTGAAAGTGTGTGGTGAATAGATAAAAAGGTCAATCCCACAAGATGACGGTGGATTGATCTTGACCACCTGCCGGTTGGTTTTATATTAACATATTTGCTGACGCTGTCCTCGAGGCAATCTCCTCTGACTCTGGTGTTACAGAAGAGCCAACCGACGGTTGGCTCGTCGTCATCTTCGTGCGGAATCGACCCTAAATCTCTTCATCACAAAAATTTCACTATAAATTGAAATGAACTCAACTTTTCCTTGCATGAAGGTGCTTGTGTCTAAACATCTAACATTTTTTGGCTAG